CCGAACAACGAGTCAGCGGGGTGGGGGGCCCCGGGAGGCTTGCCCGCGCGAAGAAACGCCCCGTGCGACCACCGTTGGGCGGTGGAAGCCGCACACGGTCGCGGGGGTGGAGAGCGGAAACGGGCAGCCGGGGGAGGGTGGGGCGGTTGGACGGGAGTGGGGTTGTACGGGGGGCAGGGGAGTTGAGGGGGCAAGGGGAGGGGCAGCAACGGGCAGGGGCTGGGCCAGCTGAGGGCAAGGAAAAGGGGCGGGCAGAGGGTGAGCAGAGGGGGCGAGCGATGCAAGGGATGCACCAGAGGGGGGAATCCAGTTGAACGGAGGTGAGAGGTGAGGGGCGTGCGAGGGGGTGGAACAGGGGCAGGGAGGGGCAGAACGGGAGGATGTGGGTGGGGGGTGGGGGAGGGGAGTGTGTGTGTGTGTGTGTGTGCGAGAGAAAGAGAGAGAGAGAGAGACGAGAGGGAGAGGGGGGGGGGGAGAAGGGTGGGAGGGGGCTGGTGGTGGGACGGCTGATGGTGGTAAGAGGGCAGCAGGGATGGGGAGAAGGGAGCGTAACGAGGGGAAGCAAAGGGCAGGGGGGGAGGAAGGGCGGGCAGGGAGGGAAGAGGGTGAACGTACAAAGAGGGGAAACGAGGGGCATGGATGGTAGGAAACAAGGGCAGGGGTGCGGGAAATCAAGGGCAGGGAGGGGAGAAAGCAATGGGTGCGGGGAGAACAAGGGAGGGGCAGAGGGGGTACAAGGTGATCTCAGGGAGGGAAGAAACGTGGGGCAGGAGGGGAGAAACCAAAGACAGGGGCATGGGCAGGCGGGGCAGGGAGGGAGCAAGGAGAGGCACGGAGAGAAAGAAAGGAGGTGCAGGGAGGGGAGAAACCGGGCGTGGGGGGGCGGAAAATGAGGGGCAGGGCGGGGAGGAGGGAGAGGCAGGGAGGGGAGAAGCTGAGCACACGGAGGGGGAAAGGTGGGGCAGGAGGTGGGAAGCCAAGGGCAAGTGGAGGAGAGTGGGGGGGCAGGGAGAGGGGGAGGTGGGGAGCGGAGAAAGGCGGCGAGGGGCAGGGAGGGGAGAAACCAAGCGTAGGGGGGCGAGAAACGAGGGGCAGGGTGCGGATTGAGGAGGGGCAGGGAGTGGAGTGGGTTAGCGAGGGGAAGGAAGAGGCGTGCAGCAGAGGAGGGGAGGGGGAGGCGAAGGTAAACGAGGGGAGGGCACGGGCGGGGAGGAGCGAATGGCGAGCGGTGGGTAACGGCGAGGGGGGCAGGGAGGGTCAAAAGAGGCGGCGAGGGAGCGGGCACGCGGAGGGTAGGGGCGGGGGAGCGGATGGCATGAGGGGGCAGGGGGTGTGACTATGAAGGGGGGACCCGGGCAAGGGGTGTGTACCGGTCGGGGCACGGGATTGTCGTGGTACGATCATACCTCGGCTACTACGCCGGATCCCATCAGAACTCCGAAGCTAAGCGCCGGTGGGCGAGAGCAGATACTGGGCTGGGTGACCTCCCGGGAAGTCCTCGTGTTGTACCCATTTATGCCCCTTGCTCGGCACGTGCCGGGGAGGGGCAAGCGGGAAAACAAAGGACGATTTTTAGCGCGTCCGACTTTTTTATTTCCCGTTTTTTTGCCCGAACAACGACGGTCAGCGGGGTGGGGGGCCCCCGGGGAGGCTTGCCCGCGCGAAGAAACGCCCCGTGCGCACCACCGTTGGGCGGTTGGAAGCCGCACACGGTCGCGGGGGTGGAGAGCGGAAAACGGGCAGCCGGGGGAGGGTGGGGGCGGTTGGACGGGAGTGGGTGTACGGGGGGCAGGGGAGTTGAGGGGGCAAGGGGAGGGGCAGCAACGGGCAGGGGCTGGGCCAGCTGAGGGCAAGGAAAAGGGGCGGGCAGAGGTGAGCAGAGGGGCGAGCGATGCAAGGGATGCCACCAGAGGGGGGGAATCCAGTTGAACGGAGGTGAGAGGTGAGGGGCGTGCTGAGGGGGTGGAACAGGGCAGGGAGGGGCAGAACGGGAGGATGTGGGTGGGGGGTGGGGGAGGGGAGTGTGTGTGTGTGTGTGTGTGCGAGAGAAAGAGAGAGAGAGAGAGAGAGAGAGGGAGAGGGGGGGGGGAGAAGGGTGGGAGGGGGGCTGGTGGTGGGGACGGGCTGATGGGGTAAGAGGGCAGCAGGGATGGGGAGAAGGGAGCGTAACGAGGGGAAAGCAAAGGGGCAGGGGGGAGGAAGGGAGGGGCAGGGAGGGAAGAGGGTGAACGTACAAAGAGGGGAAACGAGGGGCATGGATGGTAGGAAACAAGGGCAGGGGTGCGGGAAATCAAGGGCAGGGAGGGGAGAAGCAATGGGTGCGGGGAGAACAAGGGAGGGGCAGAGGGGGTACAAGGTGATCTCAGGGATGGGAAGAAACGTGGGGCAGGGAGGGGAGAAACCAAAGACAGGGGCATGGGCAGGCGGGGGCAGGGAGGGAGCAAAGGAGAGGCACGGAGAAAGAAAGGGAGGTGCAGGGAGGGGAGAAACCGGGCGTGGGGGGGCGGAAAATGAGGGGCAGGGCCGGGGAGGAGGGAGAGGCAGGGAGGGGAGAAGCTGAGCACACGGAGGGGGAAAGGTGGGGCAGGGAGGTGGGAAGCCAAGGGCAAGTGGAGGAGAGTGGGGGGGCAGGGAGAGGGGGGAGGTGGGGAGCGGAGAAAGGCGGCGAGGGGCAGGGAGGGGAGAAACCAAGCGTAGGGGGGCGAGAAACGAGGGGCAGGGTGCGGATTGAGGAGGGGCAGGGAGTGGAGTGGGTTAGCGAGGGAAGGAAGAGGCGTGCAGCAGAGGAGGGGGAGGGGGGAGGCGAAGGTAAACGAGGGGAGGGCACGGGCGGGGAGGAGCGAATGGCGAGCGGTGGGTAACGGCGAGGGGGGCAGGGAGGGTCAAAAGAGGCGGCGAGGGAGCGGGCACGCGGAGGGTAGGGGCGGGGGGAGCGGATGGCATGAGGGGGCAGGGGGTGTGAACTATGAAGGGGGGACCCGGGCACGGGGTGTGTACCGGTCGGGGCACGGGATTGTCGTGGTACGATCATACCTCGGCTACTACGCCGGATCCCATCAGAACTCCGAAGCTAAGCGCCGGTGGCGAGAGCAGTACTGGGCTGGGTGACCTCCCGGGAAGTCCTCGTGTTGTACCCATTTATGCCCCTTGCTCGGCACGTGCCGGGGAGGGGCAAGCGGGAAAAACAAAGGACGATTTTTAGCGCGTCCGACTTTTTTATTTCCGTTTTTTTTGCCCGAACAACGAGTCAGCGGGGTGGGGGGCCCCCGGGGAGGCTTGCCCGCGCGAAGAAACGCCCCGTGCGCACCACCGTTGGGCGGTTGGAAGCCGCACACGGTCGCGGGGGTGGAGAGCGGAAACGGGCAGCCGGGGGAGGGTGGGGGCGGTTGGACGGGAGTGGGGTGTACGGGGGGCAGGGGAGTTGAGGGGGCAAGGGGAGGGGCAGCAACGGGCAGGGGCTGGGCCAGCTGAGGGCAAGGAAAAGGGGCGGGCAGAGGGTGAGCAGAGGGTGCGAGCGATGCAAGGGATGCACCAGAGGGGGGGAATCCAGTTGAACGGAGGTGAGAGGTGAGGGGCGTGCGAGGGGGTGGAACAGGGGCAGGAGGGGCAGAACGGGAGGATGTGGGTGGGGGTGGGGGAGGGGGAGTGAGTGTGTGTGTGTGTGTGTGTGCGAGAGAAAGAGAGAGAGAGAGAGAGAGAGAGGGAGAGGGGGGGGGGGAGAAGGGTGGGAGGGGGGCTGGTGGTGGGGACGGGCTGATGGTGGTAAGAGGGCAGCAGGGATGGGGAGAAGGGAGCGTAACGAGGGGAAAGCAAAGGGCAGGGGGGAGGAAGGGAGGGGCAGGGAGGGAAGAGGGTGAACGTACAAAGAGGGGAAACGAGGGGCATGGATGGTAGGAAACAAGGGCAGGGGTGCGGGAAATCAAGGGCAGGGAGGGGAGAAGCAATGGGTGCGGGGAGAACAAGGGAGGGGCAGAGGGGGTACAAGGTGATCTCAGGGAGGGAAGAAACGTGGGGCAGGGAGGGGAGAAACCAAAGACAGGGGCATGGGCAGGCGGGGGCAGGGAGGGAGCAAAGGAGAGGCACGGAGAGAAAGAAAGGGAGGTGCAGGGAGGGAGAAACCGGGCGGGGGGGCGGAAATGAGGGGCAGGGCGGGGAGGAGGAGAGGCAGGGAGGGGAGAAGCTGAGCACACGGAGGGGGGAAAGGTGGGGCAGGGAGGTGGGAAGCCAAGGGCAAGTGGAGGAGAGTGGGGGGGCAGGGAGAGGGGGAGGTGGGGAGCGGAGAAAGGCGGCGAGGGGCAGGGAGGGAGAAACCAAGCGTAGGGGGGCGAGAAACGAGGGGCAGGGTGCGGATTGAGGAGGGGCAGGGAGTGGAGTGGGTTAGCGAGGGGAAGGAAGAGGCGTGCAGCAGAGAGGAGGGGAGGGGGGAGGCGAAGGTAAACGAGGGGAGGGCACGGGCGGGGAGGAGCGAATGGCGAGCGGTGGGTAACGGCGAGGGGGGCAGGGAGGGTCAAAAGAGGCGGCGAGGGAGCGGGCACGCGGAGGGTAGGGGCGGGGGGAGCGGATGGCATGAGGGGGCAGGGGGTGTGACTATGAAGGGGGGACCCGGGCAAGGGGTGTGTACCGGTCGGGGCACGGGATTGTCGTGGTACGATCATACCTCGGCTACTACGCCGGATCCCATCAGAACTCCGAAGCTAAGCGCCGGTGGGCGAGAGCAGTACTGGGCTGGGTGACCTCCCGGGAAGTCCTCGTGTTGTACCCATTTATGCCCCTTGCTCGGCACGTGCCGGGGAGGGGCAAGCGGGAAAAACAAAGGACGATTTTAGCGCGGTCCGACTTTTTTATTTCCGTTTTTTTTGCCCGAACAACGAGTCAGCGGGGTGGGGGGCCCCGGGGAGGCTTGCCCGCGCGAAGAAACGCCCCGTGCGCACCACCGTTGGGCGGTTGGAAGCCGCACACGGTCGCGGGGGTGGAGAGCGGAAACGGGCAGCCGGGGGAGGGTGGGGGCGGTTGGACGGGAGTGGGGTGTACGGGGGGCAGGGGAGTTGAGGGGGCAAGGGGAGGGGCAGCAACGGGCAGGGGCTGGGCCAGCTGAGGGCAAGGAAAAGGGGCGGGCAGAGGGTGAGCAGAGGGGCGAGCGATGCAAGGGATGCACCAGAGGGGGGGAATCCAGTTGAACGGAGGTGAGAGGTGAGGGGCGTGCGAGGGGGTGGAACAGGGGCAGGGAGGGGCAGAACGGGAGGATGTGGGTGGGGGGTGGGGGAGGGGAGTGTGTGTGTGTGTGTGTGTGCGAGAGAAAGAGAGAGAGAGAGAGAGAGAGTGAGAGAGATAGAGAGAGAGAGAGAGAGGGAGAGGGGGGGGGGAGAAGGGTGGGAGGGGGGCTGGTGGTGGGGACGGGCTGATGGTGGTAAGAGGGCAGCAGGGATGGGGAGAAGGGAGCGTAACGAGGGGAAAGCAAAGGGCAGGGGGGGAGAAACCAAGCATAGGGGGGCGAGAAACGAGGGGCAGGGTGCGGATTGAGGAGGGGCAGGGAGTGGAGTGGGTTAGCGAGGGGAAGGAAGAGGCGTGCAGCAGAGGAGGGGAGGGGGGAGGCGAAGGTAAACGAGGGGAGGGCACGGGCGGGGAGGAGCGAATGGCGAGCGGTGGGTAACGGCGAGGGGGGCAGGGAGGGTCAAAAGAGGCGGCGAGGGAGCGGGCACGCGGAGGGTAGGGGCGGGGGGAGCGGATGGCATGAGGGGGCAGGGGGTGTGACTATGAAGGGGGGACCCGGGCAAGGGGTGTGTACCGGTCGGGGCACGGGATTGTCGTGGTACGATCATACCTCGGCTACTACGCCGGATCCCATCAGAACTCCGAAGCTAAGCGCCGGTGGGCGAGAGCAGTACTGGGCTGGGTGACCTCCCGGGAAGTCCTCGTGTTGTACCCATTTATGCCCCTTGCTCGGCACGTGCCGGGGAGGGCAAGCGGGAAAAACAAAGGACGATTTTAGCGCGTCCGACTTTTTTATTTCCGTTTTTTTTGCCCGAACAACGAGTCAGCGGGGTGGGGGGCCCCCGGGGAGGCTTGCCCGCGCGAAGAAACGCCCCGTGCGCACCACCGTTGGGCGGTTGGAAGCCGCACACGGTCGCGGGGGTGGAGAGCGGAAACGGGCAGCCGGGGGAGGGTGGGGGCGGTTGGACGGGAGTGGGGTGTACGGGGGGCAGGGGAGTTGAGGGGGCAAGGGGAGGGGCAGCAACGGGCAGGGGCTGGGCCAGCTGAGGGCAAGGAAAAGGGGCGGGCAGAGGGTGAGCAGAGGGGCGAGCGATGCAAGGGATGCACCAGAGGGGGGGAATCCAGTTGAACGGAGGTGAGAGGTGAGGGGCGTGCGAGGGGGTGGAACAGGGGCAGGGAGGGGCAGAACGGGAGGATGTGGGTGGGGGGTGGGGGAGGGGAGTGTGTGTGTGTGTGTGTGTGCGAGAGAAAGAGAGAGAGAGAGAGAGAGAGAGAGAGAGGAGATAGGGGGGGGGGGGAGAAGGGTGGGAGGGGGGCTGGTGGTGGGGACGGGCTGATGGTGGTAAGAGGGCAGCAGGGATGGGGAGAAGGGAGCGTAACGAGGGAAAGCAAAGGGCAGGGGGGGGAGAAACCAAGCATAGGGGGGCGAGAACGAGGGGCAGGGTGCGGATTGAGGAGGGGCAGGGAGTGGAGTGGGTTAGCGAGGGGAAGGAAGAGGCGTGCAGCAGAGGAGGGGAGGGGGGAGGCGAAGGTAAACGAGGGGAGGGCACGGGCGGGGAGGAGCGAATGGCGAGCGGTGGGTAACGGCGAGGGGGGCAGGGAGGGTCAAAAGAGGCGGCGAGGGAGCGGGCACGCGGAGGGTAGGGGCGGGGGGAGCGGATGGCATGAGGGGGCAGGGGGTGTGACTATGAAGGGGGGACCCGGGCAAGGGGTGTGTACCGGTCGGGGCACGGGATTGTCCGTGGTACGATCATACCTCGGCTACTACGCCGGATCCCATCAGAACTCCGAAGCTAAGCGCCGGTGGGCGAGAGCAGTACTGGGCTGGGTGACCTCCCGGGAAGTCCTCGTGTTGTACCCATTTATGCCCCTTGCTCGGCACGTGCCGGGGAGGGGCAAGCGGGAAAAACAAAGGACGATTTTAGCGCGTCCGACTTTTTTATTTCCGTTTTTTTTGCCCGAACAACGAGTCAGCGGGGTGGGGGGCCCCCGGGGAGGCTTGCCCGCGCGAAGAAACGCCCCGTGCGCACCACCGTTGGGCGGTTGGAAGCCGCACACGGTCGCGGGGGTGGAGAGCGGAAACGGGCAGCCGGGGGAGGGTGGGGGCGGTTGGACGGGAGTGGGGTGTACGGGGGGCAGGGGAGTTGAGGGGGCAAGGGGAGGGGCAGCAACGGGCAGGGGCTGGGCCAGCTGAGGGCAAGGAAAAGGGGCGGGCAGAGGGTGAGCAGAGGGGCGAGCGATGCAAGGGATGCACCAGAGGGGGGGAATCCAGTTGAACGGAGGTGAGAGGTGAGGGGCGTGCGAGGGGGTGGAACAGGGGCAGGGAGGGGCAGAACGGGAGGATGTGGGTGGGGGGTGGGGGAGGGGAGTGTGTGTGTGTGTGTGTGTGCGAGAGAAAGAGAGAGAGAGAGAGAGAGAGTGAGAGAGATAGAGAGAGAGAGAGAGGGAGAGGGGGGGGGGGAGAAGGGTGGGAGGGGGGCTGGTGGTGGGGACGGGCTGATGGTGGTAAGAGGGCAGCAGGGATGGGGAGAAGGGAGCGTAACGAGGGGAAAGCAAAGGGCAGGGGGGGAGAAACCAAGCATAGGGGGGCGAGAAACGAGGGGCAGGGTGCGGATTGAGGAGGGGCAGGGAGTGGAGTGGGTTAGCGAGGGGAAGGAAGAGGCGTGCAGCAGAGGAGGGGAGGGGGGAGGCGAAGGTAAACGAGGGGAGGGCACGGGCGGGGAGGAGCGAATGGCGAGCGGTGGGTAACGGCGAGGGGGGCAGGGAGGGTCAAAAGAGGCGGCGAGGGAGCGGGCACGCGGAGGGTAGGGGCGGGGGGAGCGGATGGCATGAGGGGGCAGGGGGTGTGACTATGAAGGGGGGACCCGGGCAAGGGGTGTGTACCGGTCGGGGCACGGGATTGTCGTGGTACGATCATACCTCGGCTACTACGCCGGATCCCATCAGAACTCCGAAGCTAAGCGCCGGTGGGCGAGAGCAGTACTGGGCTGGGTGACCTCCCGGGAAGTCCTCGTGTTGTACCCATTTATGCCCCTTGCTCGGCACGTGCCGGGGAGGGGCAAGCGGGAAAAACAAAGGACGATTTTAGCGCGTCCGACTTTTTTATTTCCGTTTTTTTTGCCCGAACAACGAGTCAGCGGGGTGGGGGGCCCCCGGGGAGGCTTGCCCGCGCGAAGAAAACGCCCCGTGCGCACCACCGTTGGGCGGTTGGAAGCCGCACACGGTCGCGGGGGTGGAGAGCGGAAACGGGCAGCCGGGGGAGGGTGGGGGCGGTTGGACGGGAGTGGGGTGTACGGGGGGCAGGGGAGTTGAGGGGGCAAGGGGAGGGGCAGCAACGGGCAGGGGCTGGGCCAGCTGAGGGCAAGGAAAAGGGGCGGGCAGAGGGTGAGCAGAGGGGCGAGCGATGCAAGGGATGCACCAGAGGGGGGGAATCCAGTTGAACGGAGGTGAGAGGTGAGGGGCGTGCGAGGGGGTGGAACAGGGGCAGGGAGGGGCAGAACGGGAGGATGTGGGTGGGGGGTGGGGGAGGGGAGTGTGTGTGTGTGTGTGTGTGCGAGAGAAAGAGAGAGAGAGAGAGAGAGAGAGGGAGAGGGGGGGGGGGGAGAAGGGTGGGAGGGGGGCTGGTGGTGGGGACGGGCTGATGGTGGTAAGAGGGCAGCAGGGATGGGGAGAAGGGAGCGTAACGAGGGGAAAGCAAAGGGCAGGGGGGGAGGAAGGGAGGGGCAGGGAGGGAAGAGGGTGAACGTACAAAGAGGGGAAACGAGGGGCATGGATGGTAGGAAACAAGGGCAGGGGTGCGGGAAATCAAGGGCAGGGAGGGGAGAAGCAATGGGTGCGGGGAGAACAAGGGAGGGGCAGAGGGGGTACAAGGTGATCTCAGGGAGGGAAGAAACGTGGGGCAGGGAGGGGAGAAACCAAAGACAGGGGCATGGGCAGGCGGGGGCAGGGAGGGAGCAAAGGAGAGGCACGGAGAAAGAAAGGGAGGTGCAGGGAGGGGAGAAACCGGGCGTGGGGGGGCGGAAAATGAGGGGCAGGGCGGGGAGGAGGGAGAGGCAGGGAGGGGAGAAGCTGAGCACACGGAGGGGGGAAAGGTGGGGCAGGGAGGTGGGAAGCCAAGGGCAAGTGGAGGAGAGTGGGGGGGCAGGGAGAGGGGGGAGGTGGGGAGCGGAGAAAGGCGGCGAGGGGCAGGGAGGGGAGAAACCAAGCGTAGGGGGGCGAGAAACGAGGGGCAGGGTGCGGATTGAGGAGGGGCAGGGAGTGGAGTGGGTTAGCGAGGGGAAGGAAGAGGCGTGCAGCAGAGGAGGGGAGGGGGGAGGCGAAGGTAAACGAGGGGAGGGCACGGGCGGGGAGGAGCGAATGGCGAGCGGTGGGTAACGGCGAGGGGGGCAGGGAGGGTCAAAAGAGGCGGCGAGGGAGCGGGCACGCGGAGGGTAGGGGCGGGGGGAGCGGATGGCATGAGGGGGCAGGGGGTGTGACTATGAAGGGGGGACCCGGGCAAGGGGTGTGTACCGGTCGGGGCACGGGATTGTCGTGGTACGATCATACCTCGGCTACTACGCCGGATCCCATCAGAACTCCGAAGCTAAGCGCCGGTGGGCGAGAGCAGTACTGGGCTGGGTGACCTCCCGGGAAGTCCTCGTGTTGTACCCATTTATGCCCCTTGCTCGGCACGTGCCGGGGAGGGGCAAGCGGGAAAAACAAAGGACGATTTTAGCGCGTCCGACTTTTTTATTTCCGTTTTTTTTGCCCGAACAACGAGTCAGCGGGGTGGGGGGGCCCCCGGGGAGGCTTGCCCGCGCGAAGAAACGCCCCGTGCGCACCACCGTTGGGCGGTTGGAAGCCGCACACGGTCGCGGGGGTGGAGAGCGGAAACGGGCAGCCGGGGGAGGGTGGGGGCGGTTGGACGGGAGTGGGGTGTACGGGGGGCAGGGGAGTTGAGGGGGCAAGGGGAGGGGCAGCAACGGGCAGGGGCTGGGCCAGCTGAGGGCAAGGAAAAGGGGCGGGCAGAGGGTGAGCAGAGGGGCGAGCGATGCAAGGGATGCACCAGAGGGGGGGAATCCAGTTGAACGGAGGTGAGAGGTGAGGGGCGTGCGAGGGGGTGGAACAGGGGCAGGGAGGGGCAGAACGGGAGGATGTGGGTGGGGGGTGGGGGAGGGGAGTGTGTGTGTGTGTGTGTGTGCGAGAGAAAGAGAGAGAGAGAGAGAGAGAGTGAGAGAGATAGAGAGAGAGAGAGAGAGAGGGAGAGGGGGGGGGGGAGAAGGGTGGGAGGGGGGCTGGTGGTGGGGACGGGCTGATGGTGGTAAGAGGGCAGCAGGGATGGGGAGAAGGGAGCGTAACGAGGGGAAAGCAAAGGGCAGGGGGGGAGAAACCAAGCATAGGGGGGCGAGAAACGAGGGGCAGGGTGCGGATTGAGGAGGGGCAGGGAGTGGAGTGGGTTAGCGAGGGGAAGGAAGAGGCGTGCAGCAGAGGAGGGGAGGGGGGAGGCGAAGGTAAACGAGGGGAGGGCACGGGCGGGGAGGAGCGAATGGCGAGCGGTGGGTAACGGCGAGGGGGGCAGGGAGGGTCAAAAGAGGCGGCGAGGGAGCGGGCACGCGGAGGGTAGGGGCGGGGGGAGCGGATGGCATGAGGGGGCAGGGGGTGTGACTATGAAGGGGGGACCCGGGCAAGGGGTGTGTACCGGTCGGGGCACGGGATTGTCGTGGTACGATCATACCTCGGCTACTACGCCGGATCCCATCAGAACTCCGAAGCTAAGCGCCGGTGGGCGAGAGCAGTACTGGGCTGGGTGACCTCCCGGGAAGTCCTCGTGTTGTACCCATTTATGCCCCTTGCTCGGCACGTGCCGGGGAGGGGCAAGCGGGAAAAACAAAGGACGATTTTAGCGCGTCCGACTTTTTTATTTCCGTTTTTTTTGCCCCGAACAACGAGTCAGCGGGGTGGGGGGCCCCCGGGGAGGCTTGCCCGCGCGAAGAAACGCCCCGTGCGCACCACCGTTGGGCGGTTGGAAGCCGCACACGGTCGCGGGGGTGGAGAGCGGAAACGGGCAGCCGGGGGAGGGTGGGGGCGGTTGGACGGGAGTGGGGTGTACGGGGGGCAGGGGAGTTGAGGGGGCAAGGGGAGGGGCAGCAACGGGCAGGGGCTGGGCCAGCTGAGGGCAAGGAAAAGGGGCGGGCAGAGGGTGAGCAGAGGGGCGAGCGATGCAAGGGATGCACCAGAGGGGGGGAATCCAGTTGAACGGAGGTGAGAGGTGAGGGGCGTGCGAGGGGGTGGAACAGGGGCAGGGAGGGGCAGAACGGGAGGATGTGGGTGGGGGGTGGGGGAGGGGAGTGTGTGTGTGTGTGTGTGTGCGAGAGAAAGAGAGAGAGAGAGAGAGAGAGAGGGAGAGGGGGGGGGGGAGAAGGGTGGGAGGGGGGCTGGTGGTGGGGACGGGCTGATGGTGGTAAGAGGGCAGCAGGGATGGGGAGAAGGGAGCGTAACGAGGGGAAAGCAAAGGGCAGGGGGGGAGGAAGGGAGGGGCAGGGAGGGAAGAGGGTGAACGTACAAAGAGGGGAAACGAGGGGCATGGATGGTAGGAAACAAGGGCAGGGGTGCGGGAAATCAAGGGCAGGGAGGGGAGAAGCAATGGGTGCGGGGAGAACAAGGGAGGGGCAGAGGGGGTACAAGGTGATCTCAGGGAGGGAAGAAACGTGGGGCAGGGAGGGGAGAAACCAAAGACAGGGGCATGGGCAGGCGGGGGCAGGGAGGGAGCAAAGGAGAGGCACGGAGAAAGAAAGGGAGGTGCAGGGAGGGGAGAAACCGGGCGTGGGGGGGCGGAAAATGAGGGGCAGGGCGGGGAGGAGGGAGAGGCAGGGAGGGGAGAAGCTGAGCACACGGAGGGGGGAAAGGTGGGGCAGGGAGGTGGGAAGCCAAGGGCAAGTGGAGGAGAGTGGGGGGCAGGGAGAGGGGGGAGGTGGGGAGCGGAGAAAGGCGGCGAGGGGCAGGGAGGGGAGAAACCAAGCGTAGGGGGGCGAGAAACGAGGGGCAGGGTGCGGATTGAGGAGGGGCAGGGAGTGGAGTGGGTTAGCGAGGGGAAGGAAGAGGCGTGCAGCAGAGGAGGGGAGGGGGGAGGCGAAGGTAAACGAGGGGAGGGCACGGGCGGGGAGGAGCGAATGGCGAGCGGTGGGTAACGGCGAGGGGGGCAGGGAGGGTCAAAAGAGGCGGCGAGGGAGCGGGCACGCGGAGGGTAGGGGCGGGGGGAGCGGATGGCATGAGGGGGCAGGGGGTGTGACTATGAAGGGGGGACCCGGGCAAGGGGTGTGTACCGGTCGGGGCACGGGATTGTCGTGGTACGATCATACCTCGGCTACTACGCCGGATCCCATCAGAACTCCGAAGCTAAGCGCCGGTGGGCGAGAGCAGTACTGGGCTGGGTGACCTCCCGGGAAGTCCTCGTGTTGTACCCATTTATGCCCCTTGCTCGGCACGTGCCGGGGAGGGGCAAGCGGGAAAAACAAAGGACGATTTTAGCGCGTCCGACTTTTTTATTTCCGTTTTTTTTGCCTCCGAACAACGAGTCAGCGGGGTGGGGGGCCCCCGGGGAGGCTTGCCCGCGCGAAGAAACGCCCCGTGCGCACCACCGTTGGGCGGTTGGAAGCCGCACAACGGTCGCGGGGGTGGAGAGCGGAAACGGGCAGCCGGGGGAGGGTGGGGGCGGTTGGACGGGAGTGGGGTGTACGGGGGGCAGGGGAGTTGAGGGGGCAAGGGGAGGGGCAGCAACGGGCAGGGGCTGGGCCAGCTGAGGGCAAGGAAAAGGGGCGGGCAGAGGGTGAGCAGAGGGGCGAGCGATGCAAGGGATGCACCAGAGGGGGGGAATCCAGTTGAACGGAGGTGAGAGGTGAGGGGCGTGCGAGGGGGTGGAACAGGGGCAGGGAGGGGCAGAACGGGAGGATGTGGGTGGGGGGTGGGGGAGGGGAGTGTGTGTGTGTGTGTGTGTGCGAGAGAAAGAGAGAGAGAGAGAGAGAGAGAGAGGGAGAGGGGGGGGGGGGAGAAGGGTGGGAGGGGGGCTGGTGGTGGGGACGGGCTGATGGTGGTAAGAGGGCAGCAGGGATGGGGAGAAGGGAGCGTAACGAGGGGAAAGCAAAGGGCAGGGGGGGAGGAAGGGAGGGGCAGGGAGGGAAGAGGGTGAACGTACAAAGAGGGGAAACGAGGGGCATGGATGGTAGGAAACAAGGGCAGGGGTGCGGGAAATCAAGGGCAGGGAGGGGAGAAGCAATGGGTGCGGGGAGAACAAGGGAGGGGCAGAGGGGGTACAAGGTGATCTCAGGGAGGGAAGAAACGTGGGGCAGGGAGGGGAGAAACCAAAGACAGGGGCATGGGCAGGCGGGGGCAGGGAGGGAGCAAAGGAGAGGCACGGAGAAAGAAAGGGAGGTGCAGGGAGGGGAGAAACCGGGCGTGGGGGGGCGGAAAATGAGGGGCAGGGCGGGGAGGAGGGAGAGGCAGGGAGGGGAGAAGCTGAGCACACGGAGGGGGGAAAGGTGGGGCAGGGAGGTGGGAAGCCAAGGGCAAGTGGAGGAGAGTGGGGGGGCAGGGAGAGGGGGGAGGTGGGGAGCGGAGAAAGGCGGCGAGGGGCAGGGAGGGGAGAAACCAAGCGTAGGGGGGCGAGAAACGAGGGGCAGGGTGCGGATTGAGGAGGGGCAGGGAGTGGAGTGGGTTAGCGAGGGGAAGGAAGAGGCGTGCAGCAGAGGAGGGGAGGGGGGAGGCGAAGGTAAACGAGGGGAGGGCACGGGCGGGGAGGAGCGAATGGCGAGCGGTGGGTAACGGCGAGGGGGGCAGGGAGGGTCAAAAGAGGCGGCGAGGGAGCGGGCACGCGGAGGGTAGGGGCGGGGGGAGCGGATGGCATGAGGGGGCAGGGGGTGTGACTATGAAGGGGGGACCCGGGCAAGGGGTGTGTACCGGTCGGGGCACGGGATTGTCGTGGTACGATCATACCTCGGCTACTACGCCGGATCCCATCAGAACTCCGAAGCTAAGCGCCGGTGGGCGAGAGCAGTACTGGGCTGGGTGACCTCCCGGGAAGTCCTCGTGTTGTACCCATTTATGCCCCTTGCTCGGCACGTGCCGGGGAGGGGCAAGCGGGAAAAACAAAGGACGATTTTAGCGCGTCCGACTTTTTTATTTCCGTTTTTTTTGCCCGAACAACGAGTCAGCGGGGTGGGGGGCCCCCGGGGAGGCTTGCCCGCGCGAAGAAACGCCCCGTGCGCACCACCGTTGGGCGGTTGGAAGCCGCACACGGTCGCGGGGGTGGAGAGCGGAAACGGGCAGCCGGGGGAGGGTGGGGGCGGTTGGACGGGAGTGGGGTGTACGGGGGGCAGGGGAGTTGAGGGGGCAAGGGGAGGGGCAGCAACGGGCAGGGGCTGGGCCAGCTGAGGGCAAGGAAAAGGGGCGGGCAGAGGGTGAGCAGAGGGGCGAGCGATGCAAGGGATGCACCAGAGGGGGGGAATCCAGTTGAACGGAGGTGAGAGGTGAGGGGCGTGCGAGGGGGTGGAACAGGGGCAGGGAGGGGCAGAACGGGAGGATGTGGGTGGGGGGTGGGGGAGGGGAGTGTGTGTGTGTGTGTGTGTGCGAGAGAAAGAGAGAGAGAGAGAGAGAGAGTGAGAGAGATAGAGAGAGAGAGAGAGAGAGGGAGAGGGGGGGGGGGAGAAGGGTGGGAGGGGGGCTGGTGGTGGGGACGGGCTGATGGTGGTAAGAGGGCAGCAGGGATGGGGAGAAGGGAGCGTAACGAGGGGAAAGCAAAGGGCAGGGGGGGAGAAACCAAGCATAGGGGGGCGAGAAACGAGGGGCAGGGTGCGGATTGAGGAGGGGCAGGGAGTGGAGTGGGTTAGCGAGGGGAAGGAAGAGGCGTGCAGCAGAGGAGGGGAGGGGGGAGGCGAAGGTAAACGAGGGGAGGGCACGGGCGGGGAGGAGCGAATGGCGAGCGGTGGGTAACGGCGAGGGGGGCAGGGAGGGTCAAAAGAGGCGGCGAGGGAGCGGGCACGCGGAGGGTAGGGGCGGGGGGAGCGGATGGCATGAGGGGGCAGGGGGTGTGACTATGAAGGGGGGACCCGGGCAAGGGGTGTGTACCGGTCGGGGCACGGGATTGTCGTGGTACGATCATACCTCGGCTACTACGCCGGATCCCATCAGAACTCCGAAGCTAAGCGCCGGTGGGCGAGAGCAGTACTGGGCTGGGTGACCTCCCGGGAAGTCCTCGTGTTGTACCCATTTATGCCCCTTGCTCGGCACGTGCCGGGGAGGGGCAAGCGGGAAAAACAAAGGACGATTTTAGCGCGTCCGACTTTTTTATTTCCGTTTTTTTTGCCCGAACAACGAGTCAGCGGGGTGGGGGGCCCCCGGGGAGGCTTGCCCGCGCGAAACGCCCCGTGCGCACCACCGTTGGGCGGTTGGAAGCCGCACACGGTCGCGGGGGTGGAGAGCGGAAACGGGCAGCCGGGGGAGGGTGGGGGCGGTTGGACGGGAGTGGGGTGTACGGGGGGCAGGGGAGTTGAGGGGGCAAGGGGAGGGGCAGCAACGGGCAGGGGCTGGGCCAGCTGAGGGCAAGGAAAAGGGGCGGGCAGAGGGTGAGCAGAGGGGCGAGCGATGCAAGGGATGCACCAGAGGGGGGGAATCCAGTTGAACGGAGGTGAGAGGTGAGGGGCGTGCGAGGGGGTGGAACAGGGGCAGGGAGGGGCAGAACGGGAGGATGTGGGTGGGGGGTGGGGGAGGGGAGTGTGTGTGTGTGTGTGTGTGCGAGAGAAAGAGAGAGAGAGAGAGAGAGAGAGGGAGAGGGGGGGGGGGGAGAAGGGTGGGAGGGGGGCTGGTGGTGGGGACGGGCTGATGGTGGTAAGAGGGCAGCAGGGATGGGGAGAAGGGAGCGTAACGAGGGGAAAGCAAAGGGCAGGGGGGGAGGAAGGGAGGGGCAGGGAGGGAAGAGGGTGAACGTACAAAGAGGGGAAACGAGGGGCATGGATGGTAGGAAACAAGGGCAGGGGTGCGGGAAATCAAGGGCAGGGAGGGGAGAAGCAATGGGTGCGGGGAGAACAAGGGAGGGGCAGAGGGGGTACAAGGTGATCTCAGGGAGGGAAGAAACGTGGGGCAGGGAGGGGAGAAACCAAAGACAGGGGCATGGGCAGGCGGGGGCAGGGAGGGAGCAAAGGAGAGGCACGGAGAAAGAAAGGGAGGTGCAGGGAGGGGAGAAACCGGGCGTGGGGGGGCGGAAAATGAGGGGCAGGGCGGGGAGGAGGGAGAGGCAGGGAGGGGAGAAGCTGAGCACACGGAGGGGGGAAAGGTGGGGCAGGGAGGTGGGAAGCCAAGGGCAAGTGGAGGAGAGTGGGGGGGCAGGGAGAGGGGGGAGGTGGGGAGCGGAGAAAGGCGGCGAGGGGCAGGGAGGGGAGAAACCAAGCGTAGGGGGGCGAGAAACGAGGGGCAGGGTGCGGATTGAGGAGGGGCAGGGAGTGGAGTGGGTTAGCGAGGGGAAGGAAGAGGCGTGCAGCAGAGGAGGGGAGGGGGGAGGCGAAGGTAAACGAGGGGAGGGCACGGGCGGGGAGGAGCGAATGGCGAGCGGTGGGTAACGGCGAGGGGGGCAGGGAGGGTCAAAAGAGGCGGCGAGGGAGCGGGCACGCGGAGGGTAGGGGCGGGGGGAGCGGATGGCATGAGGGGGCAGGGGGTGTGACTATGAAGGGGGGACCCGAGCAAGGGGTGTGTACCGGTCGGGGCACGGGATTGTCGTGGTACGATCATACCTCGGCTACTACGCCGGATCCCATCAGAACTCCGAAGCTAATCGCCGGTGGGCGAGAGCAGTACTGGGCTGGGTGACCTCCCGGGAAGTCCTCGTGTTGTACCCATTTATGCCCCTTGCTCGGCACGTGCCGGGGAGGGGCAAGCGGGAAAAAGAAAGGACGATTTTAGCGCGTCCGACTTTTTTATTTCCGTTTTTTTGCCCGAACAACGAGTCAGCGGGGTGGGGGGCCCCCGGGGAGGCTTGCCCGCGCGAAGAAACGCCCCGTGCGCACCACCGTTGGGCGGTTGGAAGCCGCACACGGTCGCGGGGGTGGAGAGCGGAAACGGGCAGCCGGGGGAGGGTGGGGGCGGTTGGACGGGAGTGGGGTGTACGGGGGGCAGGGGAGTTGAGGGGGCAAGGGGAGGGGCAGCAACGGGCAGGGGCTGGGCCAGCTGAGGGCAAGGAAAAGGGGCGGGCAGAGGGTGAGCAGAGGGGCGAGCGATGCAAGGGATGCACCAGAGGGGGGGAATCCAGTTGAACGGAGGTGAGAGGTGAGGGGCGTGCGAGGGGGTGGAACAGGGGCAGGGAGGGGCAGAACGGGAGGATGTGGGTGGGGGGTGGGGGAGGGGAGTGTGTGTGTGTGTGTGTGTGCGAGAGAAAGAGAGAGAGAGAGAGAGAGAGTGAGAGAGATAGAGAGAGAGAGAGAGAGGGAGAGGGGGGGGGGGAGAAGGGTGGGAGGGGGGCTGGTGGTGGGGACGGGCTGATGGTGGTAAGAGGGCAGCAGGGATGGGGAGAAGGGAGCGTAACGAGGGGAAAGCAAAGGGCAGGGGGGGAGAAACCAAGCATAGGGGGGCGAGAAACGAGGGGCAGGGTGCGGATTGAGGAGGGGCAGGGAGTGGAGTGGGTTAGCGAGGGGAAGGAAGAGGCGTGCAGCAGAGGAGGGGAGGGGGGAGGCGAAGGTAAACGAGGGGAGGGCACGGGCGGGGAGGAGCGAATGGCGAGCGGTGGGTAACGGCGAGGGGGGCAGGGAGGGTCAAAAGAGGCGGCGAGGGAGCGGGCACGCGGAGGGTAGGGGCGGGGGGAGCGGATGGCATGAGGGGGCAGGGGGTGTGACTATGAAGGGGGGACCCGGGCAAGGGGTGTGTACCGGTCGGGGCACGGGATTGTCGTGGTACGATCATACCTCGGCTACTACGCCGGATCCCATCAGAACTCCGAAGCTAAGCGCCGGTGGGCGAGAGCAGTACTGGGCTGGGTGACCTCCCGGGAAGTCCTCGTGTTGTACCCATTTATGCCCCTTGCTCGGCACGTGCCGGGGAGGGGCAAGCGGGAAAAACAAAGGACGATTTTAGCGCGTCCGACTTTTTTATTTCCGTTTTTTTTTGCCCGAACAACGAGTCAGCGGGGTGGGGGGCCCCCGGGGAGGCTTGCCCGCGCGAAGAAACGCCCCGTGCGCACCACCGTTGGGCGGTTGGAAGCCGCACACGGTCGCGGGGGTGGAGAGCGGAAACGGGCAGCCGGGGGAGGGTGGGGGCGGTTGGACGGGAGTGGGGTGTACGGGGGGCAGGGGAGTTGAGGGGGCAAGGGGAGGGGCAGCAACGGGCAGGGGCTGGGCCAGCTGAGGGCAAGGAAAAGGGGCGGGCAGAGGGTGAGCAGAGGGGCGAGCGATGCAAGGGATGCACCAGAGGGGGGGAATCCAGTTGAACGGAGGTGAGAGGTGAGGGGCGTGCGAGGGGGTGGAACAGGGGCAGGGAGGGGCAGAACGGGAGGATGTGGGTGGGGGGTGGGGGAGGGGAGTGTGTGTGTGTGTGTGTGTGCGAGAGAAAGAGAGAGAGAGAGAGAGAGAGGGAGAGGGGGGGGGGGAGAAGGGTGGGAGGGGGGCTGGTGGTGGGGACGGGCTGATGGTGGTAAGAGGGCAGCAGGGATGGGGAGAAGGGAGCGTAACGAGGGGAAAGCAAAGGGCAGGGGGGGAGGAAGGGAGGGGCAGGGAGGGAAGAGGGTGAACGTACAAAGAGGGGAAACGAGGGGCATGGATGGTAGGAAACAAGGGCAGGGGTGCGGGAAATCAAGGGCAGGGAGGGGAGAAGCAATGGGTGCGGGGAGAACAAGGGAGGGGCAGAGGGGGTACAAGGTGATCTCAGGGAGGGAAGAAACGTGGGGCAGGGAGGGGAGAAACCAAAGACAGGGGCATGGGCAGGCGGGGGCAGGGAGGGAGCAAAGGAGAGGCACGGAGAAAGAAAGGGAGGTGCAGGGAGGGGAGAAACCGGGCGTGGGGGGGCGGAAAATGAGGGGCAGGGCGGGGAGGAGGGAGAGGCAGGGAGGGGAGAAGCTGAGCACACGGAGGGGGGAAAGGTGGGGCAGGGAGGTGGGAAGCCAAGGGCAAGTGGAGGAGAGTGGGGGGGCAGGGAGAGGGGGGAGGTGGGGAGCGGAGAAAGGCGGCGAGGGGCAGGGAGGGGAGAAACCAAGCGTAGGGGGGCGAGAAACGAGGGGCAGGGTGCGGATTGAGGAGGGGCAGGGAGTGGAGTGGGTTAGCGAGGGGAAGGAAGAGGCGTGCAGCAGAGGAGGGGAGGGGGGAGGCGAAGGTAAACGAGGGGAGGGCACGGGCGGGGAGGAGCGAATGGCGAGCGGTGGGTAACGGCGAGGGGGGCAGGGAGGGTCAAAAGAGGCGGCGAGGGAGCGGGCACGCGGAGGGTAGGGGCGGGGGGAGCGGATGGCATGAGGGGGCAGGGGGTGTGACTATGAAGGGGGGACCCGGGCAAGGGGTGTGTACCGGTCGGGGCACGGGATTGTCGTGGTACGATCATACCTCGGCTACTACGCCGGATCCCATCAGAACTCCGAAGCTAAGCGCCGGTGGGCGAGAGCAGTACTGGGCTGGGTGACCTCCCGGGAAGTCCTCGTGTTGTACCCATTTATGCCCCTTGCTCGGCACGTGCCGGGGAGGGGCAAGCGGGAAAAACAAAGGACGATTTTAGCGCGTCCGACTTTTTTATTTCCGTTTTTTTTGCCCCGAACAACGAGTCAGCGGGGTGGGGGGCCCCCGGGGAGGCTTGCCCGCGCGAAGAAACGCCCCGTGCGCACCACCGTTGGGCGGTTGGAAGCCGCACACGGTCGCGGGGGTGGAGAGCGGAAACGGGCAGCCGGGGGAGGGTGGGGGCGGTTGGACGGGAGTGGGGTGTACGGGGGGCAGGGGAGTTGAGGGGGCAAGGGGAGGGGCAGCAACGGGCAGGGGCTGGGCCAGCTGAGGGCAAGGAAAAGGGGCGGGCAGAGGGTGAGCAGAGGGGCGAGCGATGCAAGGGATGCACCAGAGGGGGGGAATCCAGTTGAACGGAGGTGAGAGGTGAGGGGCGTGCGAGGGGGTGGAACAGGGGCAGGGAGGGGCAGAACTGGGAGGATGTGGGTGGGGGGTGGGGGAGGGGAGTGTGTGTGTGTGTGTGTGTGCGAGAGAAAGAGAGAGAGAGAGAGAGAGAGTGAGAGAGATAGAGAGAGAGAGAGAGAGAGGGAGAGGGGGGGGGGAGAAGGGTGGGAGGGGGGCTGGTGGTGGGGACGGGCTGATGGTGGTAAGAGGGCAGCAGGGATGGGGAGAAGGGAGCGTAACGAGGGGAAAGCAAAGGGCAGGGGGGGAGAAACCAAGCATAGGGGGGCGAGAAACGAGGGGCAGGGTGCGGATTGAGGAGGGGCAGGGAGTGGAGTGGGTTAGCGAGGGGAAGGAAGAGGCGTGCAGCAGAGGAGGGGAGGGGGGAGGCGAAGGTAAACGAGGGGAGGGCACGGGCGGGGAGGAGCGAATGGCGAGCGGTGGGTAACGGCGAGGGGGGCAGGGAGGGTCAAAAGAGGCGGCGAGGGAGCGGGCACGCGGAGGGTAGGGGCGGGGGGAGCGGATGGCATGAGGGGGCAGGGGGTGTGACTATGAAGGGGGGACCCGGGCAAGGGGTGTGTACCGGTCGGGGCACGGGATTGTCGTGGTACGATCATACCTCGGCTACTACGCCGGATCCCATCAGAACTCCGAAGCTAAGCGCCGGTGGGCGAGAGCAGTACTGGGCTGGGTGACCTCCCGGGAAGTCCTCGTGTTGTACCCATTTATGCCCCTTGCTCGGCACGTGCCGGGGAGGGGCAAGCGGGAAAAACAAAGGACGATTTTAGCGCGTCCGACTTTTTTATTTCCGTTTTTTTGCCCGAACAACGAGTCAGCGGGGTGGGGGGCCCCCGGGGAGGCTTGCCCGCGCGAAGAAACGCCCCGTGCGCACCACCGTTGGGCGGTTGGAAGCCGCACACGGTCGCGGGGGTGGAGAGCGGAAACGGGCAGCCGGGGGAGGGTGGGGGCGGTTGGACGGGAGTGGGGTGTACGGGGGGCAGGGGAGTTGAGGGGGCAAGGGGAGGGGCAGCAACGGGCAGGGGCTGGGCCAGCTGAGGGCAAGGAAAAGGGGCGGGCAGAGGGTGAGCAGAGGGGCGAGCGATGCAAGGGATGCACCAGAGGGGGGGAATCCAGTTGAACGGAGGTGAGAGGTGAGGGGCGTGCGAGGGGGTGGAACAGGGGCAGGGAGGGGCAGAACGGGAGGATGTGGGTGGGGGGTGGGGGAGGGGAGTGTGTGTGTGTGTGTGTGTGCGAGAGAAAGAGAGAGAGAGAGAGAGAGAGAGGGAGAGGGGGGGGGGGGAGAAGGGTGGGAGGGGGGCTGGTGGTGGGGACGGGCTGATGGTGGTAAGAGGGCAGCAGGGATGGGGAGAAGGGAGCGTAACGAGGGGAAAGCAAAGGGCAGGGGGGGAGGAAGGGAGGGGCAGGGAGGGAAGAGGGTGAACGTACAAAGAGGGGAAACGAGGGGCATGGATGGTAGGAAACAAGGGCAGGGGTGCGGGAAATCAAGGGCAGGGAGGGGAGAAGCAATGGGTGCGGGGAGAACAAGGGAGGGGCAGAGGGGGTACAAGGTGATCTCAGGGAGGGAAGAAACGTGGGGCAGGGAGGGGAGAAACCAAAGACAGGGGCATGGGCAGGCGGGGGCAGGGAGGGAGCAAAGGAGAGGCACGGAGAAAGAAAGGGAGGTGCAGGGAGGGGAGAAACCGGGCGTGGGGGGGCGGAAAATGAGGGGCAGGGCGGGGAGGAGGGAGAGGCAGGGAGGGGAGAAGCTGAGCACACGGAGGGGGGAAAGGTGGGGCAGGGAGGTGGGAAGCCAAGGGCAAGTGGAGGAGAGTGGGGGGGCAGGGAGAGGGGGGAGGTGGGGAGCGGAGAAAGGCGGCGAGGGGCAGGGAGGGGAGAAACCAAGCGTAGGGGGGCGAGAAACGAGGGGCAGGGTGCGGATTGAGGAGGGGCAGGGAGTGGAGTGGGTTAGCGAGGGGAAGGAAGAGGCGTGCAGCAGAGGAGGGGAGGGGGGAGGCGAAGGTAAACGAGGGGAGGGCACGGGCGGGGAGGAGCGAATGGCGAGCGGTGGGTAACGGCGAGGGGGGCAGGGAGGGTCAAAAGAGGCGGCGAGGGAGCGGGCACGCGGAGGGTAGGGGCGGGGGGAGCGGATGGCATGAGGGGGCAGGGGGTGTGACTATGAAGGGGGGACCCGGGCAAGGGGTGTGTACCGGTCGGGGCACGGGATTGTCGTGGTACGATCATACCTCGGCTACTACGCCGGATCCCATCAGAACTCCGAAGCTAAGCGCCGGTGGGCGAGAGCAGTACTGGGCTGGGTGACCTCCCGGGAAGTCCTCGTGTTGTACCCATTTATGCCCCTTGCTCGGCACGTGCCGGGGAGGGGCAAGCGGGAAAAACAAAGGACGATTTTAGCGCGTCCGACTTTTTTATTTCCGTTTTTTTTGCCCGAACAACGAGTCAGCGGGGTGGGGGGCCCCCGGGGAGGCTTGCCCGCGCGAAGAAACGCCCCGTGCGCACCACCGTTGGGCGGTTGGAAGCCGCACACGGTCGCGGGGGTGGAGAGCGGAAACGGGCAGCCGGGGGAGGGTGGGGGCGGTTGGACGGGAGTGGGGTGTACGGGGGGCAGGGGAGTTGAGGGGGCAAGGGGAGGGGCAGCAACGGGCAGGGGCTGGGCCAGCTGAGGGCAAGGAAAAGGGGCGGGCAGAGGGTGAGCAGAGGGGCGAGCGATGCAAGGGATGCACCAGAGGGGGGGAATCCAGTTGAACGGAGGTGAGAGGTGAGGGGCGTGCGAGGGGGTGGAACAGGGGCAGGGAGGGGCAGAACGGGAGGATGTGGGTGGGGGGTGGGGGAGGGGAGTGTGTGTGTGTGTGTGTGTGCGAGAGAAAGAGAGAGAGAGAGAGAGAGAGGGAGAGGGGGGGGGGGAGAAGGGTGGGAGGGGGGCTGGTGGTGGGGACGGGCTGATGGTGGTAAGAGGGCAGCAGGGATGGGGAGAAGGGAGCGTAACGAGGGGAAAGCAAAGGGCAGGGGGGGAGGAAGGGAGGGGCAGGGAGGGAAGAGGGTGAACGTACAAAGAGGGGAAACGAGGGGCATGGATGGTAGGAAACAAGGGCAGGGGTGCGGGAAATCAAGGGCAGGGAGGGGAGAAGCAATGGGTGCGGGGAGAACAAGGGAGGGGCAGAGGGGGTACAAGGTGATCTCAGGGAGGGAAGAAACGTGGGGCAGGGAGGGGAGAAACCAAAGACAGGGGCATGGGCAGGCGGGGGCAGGGAGGGAGCAAAGGAGAGGCACGGAGAAAGAAAGGGAGGTGCAGGGAGGGGAGAAACCGGGCGTGGGGGGGCGGAAAATGAGGGGCAGGGCGGGGAGGAGGGAGAGGCAGGGAGGGGAGAAGCTGAGCACACGGAGGGGGGAAAGGTGGGGCAGGGAGGTGGGAAGCCAAGGGCAAGTGGAGGAGAGTGGGGGGGCAGGGAGAGGGGGGAGGTGGGGAGCGGAGAAAGGCGGCGAGGGGCAGGGAGGGGAGAAACCAAGCGTAGGGGGGCGAGAAACGAGGGGCAGGGTGCGGATTGAGGAGGGGCAGGGAGTGGAGTGGGTTAGCGAGGGGAAGGAAGAGGCGTGCAGCAGAGGAGGGGAGGGGGGAGGCGAAGGTAAACGAGGGGAGGGCACGGGCGGGGAGGAGCGAATGGCGAGCGGTGGGTAACGGCGAGGGGGGCAGGGAGGGTCAAAAGAGGCGGCGAGGGAGCGGGCACGCGGAGGGTAGGGGCGGGGGGAGCGGATGGCATGAGGGGGCAGGGGGTGTGACTATGAAGGGGGGACCCGGGCAAGGGGTGTGTACCGGTCGGGGCACGGGATTGTCGTGGTACGATCATACCTCGGCTACTACGCCGGATCCCATCAGAACTCCGAAGCTAAGCGCCGGTGGGCGAGAGCAGTACTGGGCTGGGTGACCTCCCGGGAAGTCCTCGTGTTGTACCCATTTATGCCCCTTGCTCGGCACGTGCCGGGGAGGGGCAAGCGGGAAAAACAAAGGACGATTTTAGCGCGTCCGACTTTTTTATTTCCGTTTTTTTTGCCCCGAACAACGAGGTCAGCGGGGTGGGGGGCCCCCGGGGAGGCTTGCCCGCGCGAAGAAACGCCCCGTGCGCACCACCGTTGGGCGGTTGGAAGCCGCACACGGTCGCGGGGGTGGAGAGCGGAAACGGGCAGCCGGGGGAGGGTGGGGGCGGTTGGACGGGAGTGGGGTGTACGGGGGGCAGGGGAGTTGAGGGGGCAAGGGGAGGGGCAGCAACGGGCAGGGGCTGGGCCAGCTGAGGGCAAGGAAAAGGGGCGGGCAGAGGGTGAGCAGAGGGGCGAGCGATGCAAGGGATGCACCAGAGGGGGGGAATCCAGTTGAACGGAGGTGAGAGGTGAGGGGCGTGCGAGGGGGTGGAACAGGGGCAGGGAGGGGCAGAACGGGAGGATGTGGGTGGGGGGTGGGGGAGGGGAGTGTGTGTGTGTGTGTGTGTGCGAGAGAAAGAGAGAGAGAGAGAGAGAGAGAGAGGGAGAGGGGGGGGGGGGAGAAGGGTGGGAGGGGGGCTGGTGGTGGGGACGGGCTGATGGTGGTAAGAGGGCAGCAGGGATGGGGAGAAGGGAGCGTAACGAGGGGAAAGCAAAGGGCAGGGGGGGAGGAAGGGAGGGGCAGGGAGGGAAGAGGGTGAACGTACAAAGAGGGGAAACGAGGGGCATGGATGGTAGGAAACAAGGGCAGGGGTGCGGGAAATCAAGGGCAGGGAGGGGAGAAGCAATGGGTGCGGGGAGAACAAGGGAGGGGCAGAGGGGGTACAAGGTGATCTCAGGGAGGGAAGAAACGTGGGGCAGGGAGGGGAGAAACCAAAGACAGGGGCATGGGCAGGCGGGGGCAGGGAGGGAGCAAAGGAGAGGCACGGAGAAAGAAAGGGAGGTGCAGGGAGGGGAGAAACCGGGCGTGGGGGGGCGGAAAATGAGGGGCAGGGCGGGGAGGAGGGAGAGGCAGGGAGGGGAGAAGCTGAGCACACGGAGGGGGGAAAGGTGGGGCAGGGAGGTGGGAAGCCAAGGGCAAGTGGAGGAGAGTGGGGGGGGCAGGGAGAGGGGGGAGGTGGGGAGCGGAGAAAGGCGGCGAGGGGCAGGGAGGGGAGAAACCAAGCGTAGGGGGGCGAGAAACGAGGGGCAGGGTGCGGATTGAGGAGGGGCAGGGAGTGGAGTGGGTTAGCGAGGGGAAGGAAGAGGCGTGCAGCAGAGGAGGGGAGGGGGGAGGCGAAGGTAAACGAGGGGAGGGCACGGGCGGGGAGGAGCGAATGGCGAGCGGTGGGTAACGGCGAGGGGGGCAGGGAGGGTCAAAAGAGGCGGCGAGGGAGCGGGCACGCGGAGGGTAGGGGCGGGGGGAGCGGATGGCATGAGGGGGCAGGGGGTGTGACTATGAAGGGGGGACCCGGGCAAGGGGTGTGTACCGGTCGGGGCACGGGATTGTCGTGGTACGATCATACCTCGGCTACTACGCCGGATCCCATCAGAACTCCGAAGCTAAGCGCCGGTGGGCGAGAGCAGTACTGGGCTGGGTGACCTCCCGGGAAGTCCTCGTGTTGTACCCATTTATGCCCCTTGCTCGGCACGTGCCGGGGAGGGGCAAGCGGGAAAAACAAAGGACGATTTTAGCGCGTCCGACTTTTTTATTTCCGTTTTTTTGCCCGAACAACGAGTCAGCGGGGTGGGGGGCCCCCGGGGAGGCTTGCCCGCGCGAAGAAACGCCCCGTGCGCACCACCGTTGGGCGGTTGGAAGCCGCACACGGTCGCGGGGGTGGAGAGCGGAAACGGGCAGCCGGGGGAGGGTGGGGGCGGTTGGACGGGAGTGGGGTGTACGGGGGGCAGGGGAGTTGAGGGGGCAAGGGGAGGGGCAGCAACGGGCAGGGGCTGGGCCAGCTGAGGGCAAGGAAAAGGGGCGGGCAGAGGGTGAGCAGAGGGGCGAGCGATGCAAGGGATGCACCAGAGGGGGGGAATCCAGTTGAACGGAGGTGAGAGGTGAGGGGCGTGCGAGGGGGTGGAACAGGGGCAGGGAGGGGCAGAACGGGAGGATGTGGGTGGGGGGTGGGGGAGGGGAGTGTGTGTGTGTGTGTGTGTGCGAGAGAAAGAGAGAGAGAGAGAGAGAGTGAGAGAGATAGAGAGAGAGAGAGAGAGGGAGAGGGGGGGGGGAGAAGGGTGGGAGGGGGGCTGGTGGTGGGGACGGGCTGATGGTGGTAAGAGGGCAGCAGGGATGGGGAGAAGGGAGCGTAACGAGGGGAAAGCAAAGGGCAGGGTGCGGATTGAGGAGGGGCAGGGAGTGGAGTGGGTTAGCGAGGGGAAGGAAGAGGCGTGCAGCAGAGGAGGGGAGGGGGGAGGCGAAGGTAAACGAGGGGAGGGCACGGGCGGGGAGGAGCGAATGGCGAGCGGTGGGTAACGGCGAGGGGGGCAGGGAGGGTCAAAAGAGGCGGCGAGGGAGCGGGCACGCGGAGGGTAGGGGCGGGGGGAGCGGATGGCATGAGGGGGCAGGGGGTGTGACTATGAAGGGGGGACCCGGGCAAGGGGTGTGTACCGGTCGGGGCACGGGATTGTCGTGGTACGATCATACCTCGGCTACTACGCCGGATCCCATCAGAACTCCGAAGCTAAGCGCCGGTGGGCGAGAGCAGTACTGGGCTGGGTGACCTCCCGGGAAGTCCTCGTGTTGTACCCATTTATGCCCCTTGCTCGGCACGTGCCGGGGAGGGGCAAGCGGGAAAAACAAAGGACGATTTTAGCGCGTCCGACTTTTTTATTTCCGTTTTTTTGCTCCGAACAACGAGTCAGCGGGGTGGGGGGCCCCCGGGGAGGCTTGCCCGCGCGAAGAAACGCCCCGTGCGCACCACCGTTGGGCGGTTGGAAGCCGCACACGGTCGCGGGGGTGGAGAGCGGAAACGGGCAGCCGGGGGAGGGTGGGGGCGGTTGGACGGGAGTGGGGTGTACGGGGGGCAGGGGAGTTGAGGGGGCAAGGGGAGGGGCAGCAACGGGCAGGGGCTGGGCCAGCTGAGGGCAAGGAAAAGGGGCGGGCAGAGGGTGAGCAGAGGGGCGAGCGATGCAAGGGATGCACCAGAGGGGGGGAATCCAGTTGAACGGAGGTGAGAGGTGAGGGGCGTGCGAGGGGGTGGAACAGGGGCAGGGAGGGGCAGAACGGGAGGATGTGGGTGGGGGGTGGGGGAGGGGAGTGTGTGTGTGTGTGTGTGTGCGAGAGAAAGAGAGAGAGAGAGAGAGAGAGTGAGAGAGATAGAGAGAGAGAGAGGGGGGGGGGGGGGAGAAGGGTGGGAGGGGGGCTGGTGGTGGGGACGGGCTGATGGTGGTAAGAGGGCAGCAGGGATGGGGAGAAGGGAGCGTAACGAGGGGAAAGCAAAGGGCAGGGGGGGAGAAACCAAGCATAGGGGGGCGAGAAACGAGGGGCAGGGTGCGGATTGAGGAGGGGCAGGGAGTGGAGTGGGTTAGCGAGGGGAAGGAAGAGGCGTGCAGCAGAGGAGGGGAGGGGGGAGGCGAAGGTAAACGAGGGGAGGGCACGGGCGGGGAGGAGCGAATGGCGAGCGGTGGGTAACGGCGAGGGGGGCAGGGAGGGTCAAAAGAGGCGGCGAGGGAGCGGGCACGCGGAGGGTAGGGGCGGGGGGAGCGGATGGCATGAGGGGGCAGGGGGGTGTGACTATGAAGGGGGGACCCGGGCAAGGGGTGTGTACCGGTCGGGGCACGGGATTGTCGTGGTACGATCATACCTCGGCTACTACGCCGGATCCCATCAGAACTCCGAAGCTAAGCGCCGGTGGGCGAGAGCAGTACTGGGCTGGGTGACCTCCCGGGAAGTCCTCGTGTTGTACCCATTTATGCCCCTTGCTCGGCACGTGCCGGGGAGGGGCAAGCGGGAAAAACAAAGGACGATTTTAGCGCGTCCGACTTTTTTATTTCCGTTTTTTTGCCCCGAACAACGAGTCAGCGGGGTGGGGGGCCCCCGGGGAGGCTTGCCCGCGCGAAGAAACGCCCCGTGCGCACCACCGTTGGGCGGTTGGAAGCCGCACACGGTCGCGGGGGTGGAGAGCGGAAACGGGCAGCCGGGGGAGGGTGGGGGCGGTTGGACGGGAGTGGGGTGTACGGGGGGCAGGGGAGTTGAGGGGGCAAGGGGAGGGGCAGCAACGGGCAGGGGCTGGGCCAGCTGAGGGCAAGGAAAAGGGGCGGGCAGAGGGTGAGCAGAGGGGCGAGCGATGCAAGGGATGCACCAGAGGGGGGGAATCCAGTTGAACGGAGGTGAGAGGTGAGGGGCGTGCGAGGGGGTGGAACAGGGGCAGGGAGGGGCAGAACGGGAGGATGTGGGTGGGGGGTGGGGGAGGGGAGTGTGTGTGTGTGTGTGTGTGCGAGAGAAAGAGAGAGAGAGAGAGAGAGAGGGAGAGGGGGGGGGGGAGAAGGGTGGGAGGGGGGCTGGTGGTGGGGACGGGCTGATGGTGGTAAGAGGGCAGCAGGGATGGGGAGAAGGGAGCGTAACGAGGGGAAAGCAAAGGGCAGGGGGGGAGGAAGGGAGGGGCAGGGAGGGAAGAGGGTGAACGTACAAAGAGGGGAAACGAGGGGCATGGATGGTAGGAAACAAGGGCAGGGGTGCGGGAAATCAAGGGCAGGGAGGGGAGAAGCAATGGGTGCGGGGAGAACAAGGGAGGGGCAGAGGGGGTACAAGGTGATCTCAGGGAGGGAAGAAACGTGGGGCAGGGAGGGGAGAAACCAAAGACAGGGGCATGGGCAGGCGGGGGCAGGGAGGGAGCAAAGGAGAGGCACGGAGAAAGAAAGGGAGGTGCAGGGAGGGGAGAAACCGGGCGTGGGGGGGCGGAAAATGAGGGGCAGGGCGGGGAGGAGGGAGAGGCAGGGAGGGGAGAAGCTGAGCACACGGAGGGGGGAAAGGTGGGGCAGGGAGGTGGGAAGCCAAGGGCAAGTGGAGGAGAGTGGGGGGGCAGGGAGAGGGGGGAGGTGGGGAGCGGAGAAAGGCGGCGAGGGGCAGGGAGGGGAGAAACCAAGCGTAGGGGGGCGAGAAACGAGGGGCAGGGTGCGGATTGAGGAGGGGCAGGGAGTGGAGTGGGTTAGCGAGGGGAAGGAAGAGGCGTGCAGCAGAGGAGGGGAGGGGGGAGGCGAAGGTAAACGAGGGGAGGGCACGGGCGGGGAGGAGCGAATGGCGAGCGGTGGGTAACGGCGAGGGGGGCAGGGAGGGTCAAAAGAGGCGGCGAGGGAGCGGGCACGCGGAGGGTAGGGGCGGGGGGAGCGGATGGCATGAGGGGGCAGGGGGTGTGACTATGAAGGGGGGACCCGGGCAAGGGGTGTGTACCGGTCGGGGCACGGGATTGTCGTGGTACGATCATACCTCGGCTACTACGCCGGATCCCATCAGAACTCCGAAGCTAAGCGCCGGTGGGCGAGAGCAGTACTGGGCTGGGTGACCTCCCGGGAAGTCCTCGTGTTGTACCCATTTATGCCCCTTGCTCGGCACGTGCCGGGGAGGGGCAAGCGGGAAAAACAAAGGACGATTTTAGCGCGTCCGACTTTTTTATTTCCGTTTTTTTTGCCCGAACAACGAGTCAGCGGGGTGGGGGGCCCCCGGGGAGGCTTGCCCGCGCGAAGAAACGCCCCGTGCGCACCACCGTTGGGCGGTTGGAAGCCGCACACGGTCGCGGGGGTGGAGAGCGGAAACGGGCAGCCGGGGGAGGGTGGGGGCGGTTGGACGGGAGTGGGGTGTACGGGGGGCAGGGGAGTTGAGGGGGCAAGGGGAGGGGCAGCAACGGGCAGGGGCTGGGCCAGCTGAGGGCAAGGAAAAGGGGCGGGCAGAGGGTGAGCAGAGGGGCGAGCGATGCAAGGGATGCACCAGAGGGGGGGAATCCAGTTGAACGGAGGTGAGAGGTGAGGGGCGTGCGAGGGGGTGGAACAGGGGCAGGGAGGGGCAGAACGGGAGGATGTGGGTGGGGGGTGGGGGAGGGGAGTGTGTGTGTGTGTGTGTGTGCGAGAGAAAGAGAGAGAGAGAGAGAGAGAGAGGGAGAGGGGGGGGGGGAGAAGGGTGGGAGGGGGGCTGGTGGTGGGGACGGGCTGATGGTGGTAAGAGGGCAGCAGGGATGGGGAGAAGGGAGCGTAACGAGGGGAAAGCAAAGGGCAGGGGGGGAGGAAGGGAGGGGCAGGGAGGGAAGAGGGTGAACGTACAAAGAGGGGAAACGAGGGGCATGGATGGTAGGAAACAAGGGCAGGGGTGCGGGAAATCAAGGGCAGGGAGGGGAGAAGCAATGGGTGCGGGGAGAACAAGGGAGGGGCAGAGGGGGTACAAGGTGATCTCAGGGAGGGAAGAAACGTGGGGCAGGGAGGGGAGAAACCAAAGACAGGGGCATGGGCAGGCGGGGGCAGGGAGGGAGCAAAGGAGAGGCACGGAGAAAGAAAGGGAGGTGCAGGGAGGGGAGAAACCGGGCGTGGGGGGGCGGAAAATGAGGGGCAGGGCGGGGAGGAGGGAGAGGCAGGGAGGGGAGAAGCTGAGCACACGGAGGGGGGAAAGGTGGGGCAGGGAGGTGGGAAGCCAAGGGCAAGTGGAGGAGAGTGGGGGGGCAGGGAGAGGGGGGAGGTGGGGAGCGGAGAAAGGCGGCGAGGGGCAGGGAGGGGAGAAACCAAGCGTAGGGGGGCGAGAAACGAGGGGCAGGGTGCGGATTGAGGAGGGGCAGGGAGTGGAGTGGGTTAGCGAGGGGAAGGAAGAGGCGTGCAGCAGAGGAGGGGAGGGGGGAGGCGAAGGTAAACGAGGGGAGGGCACGGGCGGGGAGGAGCGAATGGCGAGCGGTGGGTAACGGCGAGGGGGGCAGGGAGGGTCAAAAGAGGCGGCGAGGGAGCGGGCACGCGGAGGGTAGGGGCGGGGGGAGCGGATGGCATGAGGGGGCAGGGGGTGTGACTATGAAGGGGGGACCCGGGCAAGGGGTGTGTACCGGTCGGGGCACGGGATTGTCGTGGTACGATCATACCTCGGCTACTACGCCGGATCCCATCAGAACTCCGAAGCTAAGCGCCGGTGGGCGAGAGCAGTACTGGGCTGGGTGACCTCCCGGGAAGTCCTCGTGTTGTACCCATTTATGCCCCTTGCTCGGCACGTGCCGGGGAGGGGCAAGCGGGAAAAACAAAGGACGATTTTAGCGCGTCCGACTTTTTTATTTCCGTTTTTTTTGCCCCGAACAACGAGTCAGCGGGGTGGGGGGCCCCCGGGGAGGCTTGCCCGCGCGAAGAAACGCCCCGTGCGCACCACCGTTGGGCGGTTGGAAGCCGCACACGGTCGCGGGGGTGGAGAGCGGAAACGGGCAGCCGGGGGAGGGTGGGGGCGGTTGGACGGGAGTGGGGTGTACGGGGGGCAGGGGAGTTGAGGGGGCAAGGGGAGGGGCAGCAACGGGCAGGGGCTGGGCCAGCTGAGGGCAAGGAAAAGGGGCGGGCAGAGGGTGAGCAGAGGGGCGAGCGATGCAAGGGATGCACCAGAGGGGGGGAATCCAGTTGAACGGAGGTGAGAGGTGAGGGGCGTGCGAGGGGGTGGAACAGGGGCAGGGAGGGGCAGAACGGGAGGATGTGGGTGGGGGGTGGGGGAGGGGAGTGTGTGTGTGTGTGTGTGTGCGAGAGAAAGAGAGAGAGAGAGAGAGAGTGAGAGAGATAGAGAGAGAGAGAGAGAGAGGGAGAGGGGGGGGGGGAGAAGGGTGGGAGGGGGGCTGGTGGTGGGGACGGGCTGATGGTGGTAAGAGGGCAGCAGGGATGGGGAGAAGGGAGCGTAACGAGGGGAAAGCAAAGGGCAGGGGGGGAGAAACCAAGCATAGGGGGGCGAGAAACGAGGGGCAGGGTGCGGATTGAGGAGGGGCAGGGAGTGGAGTGGGTTAGCGAGGGGAAGGAAGAGGCGTGCAGCAGAGGAGGGGAGGGGGGAGGCGAAGGTAAACGAGGGGAGGGCACGGGCGGGGAGGAGCGAATGGCGAGCGGTGGGTAACGGCGAGGGGGGCAGGGAGGGTCAAAAGAGGCGGCGAGGGAGCGGGCACGCGGAGGGTAGGGGCGGGGGGAGCGGATGGCATGAGGGGGCAGGGGGTGTGACTATGAAGGGGGGACCCGGGCAAGGGGTGTGTACCGGTCGGGGCACGGGATTGTCGTGGTACGATCATACCTCGGCTACTACGCCGGATCCCATCAGAACTCCGAAGCTAAGCGCCGGTGGGCGAGAGCAGTACTGGGCTGGGTGACCTCCCGGGAAGTCCTCGTGTTGTACCCATTTATGCCCCTTGCTCGGCACGTGCCGGGGAGGGGCAAGCGGGAAAAACAAAGGACGATTTTAGCGCGTCCGACTTTTTTATTTCCGTTTTTTTGCCCGAACAACGAGTCAGCGGGGTGGGGGGCCCCCGGGGAGGCTTGCCCGCGCGAAGAAACGCCCCGTGCGCACCACCGTTGGGCGGTTGGAAGCCGCACACGGTCGCGGGGGTGGAGAGCGGAAACGGGCAGCCGGGGGAGGGTGGGGGCGGTTGGACGGGAGTGGGGTGTACGGGGGGCAGGGGAGTTGAGGGGGCAAGGGGAGGGGCAGCAACGGGCAGGGGCTGGGCCAGCTGAGGGCAAGGAAAAGGGGCGGGCAGAGGGTGAGCAGAGGGGCGAGCGATGCAAGGGATGCACCAGAGGGGGGGAATCCAGTTGAACGGAGGTGAGAGGTGAGGGGCGTGCGAGGGGGTGGAACAGGGGCAGGGAGGGGCAGAACGGGAGGATGTGGGTGGGGGGTGGGGGAGGGGAGTGTGTGTGTGTGTGTGTGTGCGAGAGAAAGAGAGAGAGAGAGAGAGAGTGAGAGAGATAGAGAGAGAGAGAGAGAGGGAGAGGGGGGGGGGAGAAGGGTGGGAGGGGGGCTGGTGGTGGGGACGGGCTGATGGTGGTAAGAGGGCAGCAGGGATGGGGAGAAGGGAGCGTAACGAGGGGAAAGCAAAGGGCAGGGGGGGAGAAACCAAGCATAGGGGGGCGAGAAACGAGGGGCAGGGTGCGGATTGAGGAGGGGCAGGGAGTGGAGTGGGTTAGCGAGGGGAAGGAAGAGGCGTGCAGCAGAGGAGGGGAGGGGGGAGGCGAAGGTAAACGAGGGGAGGGCACGGGCGGGGAGGAGCGAATGGCGAGCGGTGGGTAACGGCGAGGGGGGCAGGGAGGGTCAAAAGAGGCGGCGAGGGAGCGGGCACGCGGAGGGTAGGGGCGGGGGGAGCGGATGGCATGAGGGGGCAGGGGGTGTGACTATGAAGGGGGGACCCGGGCAAGGGGTGTGTACCGGTCGGGGCACGGGATTGTCGTGGTACGATCATACCTCGGCTACTACGCCGGATCCCATCAGAACTCCGAAGCTAAGCGCCGGTGGGCGAGAGCAGTACTGGGCTGGGTGACCTCCCGGGAAGTCCTCGTGTTGTACCCATTTATGCCCCTTGCTCGGCACGTGCCGGGGAGGGGCAAGCGGGAAAAACAAAGGACGATTTTAGCGCGTCCGACTTTTTTATTTCCGTTTTTTTTGCCCGAACAACGAGTCAGCGGGGTGGGGGGCCCCCGGGGAGGCTTGCCCGCGCGAAGAAACGCCCCGTGCGCACCACCGTTGGGCGGTTGGAAGCCGCACACGGTCGCGGGGGTGGAGAGCGGAAACGGGCAGCCGGGGGAGGGTGGGGGCGGTTGGACGGGAGTGGGGTGTACGGGGGGCAGGGGAGTTGAGGGGGCAAGGGGAGGGGCAGCAACGGGCAGGGGCTGGGCCAGCTGAGGGCAAGGAAAAGGGGCGGGCAGAGGGTGAGCAGAGGGGCGAGCGATGCAAGGGATGCACCAGAGGGGGGGAATCCAGTTGAACGGAGGTGAGAGGTGAGGGGCGTGCGAGGGGGTGGAACAGGGGCAGGGAGGGGCAGAACGGGAGGATGTGGGTGGGGGGTGGGGGAGGGGAGTGTGTGTGTGTGTGTGTGTGCGAGAGAAAGAGAGAGAGAGAGAGAGAGTGAGAGAGATAGAGAGAGAGAGAGAGAGGGAGAGGGGGGGGGAGAAGGGTGGGAGGGGGGCTGGTGGTGGGGACGGGCTGATGGTGGTAAGAGGGCAGCAGGGATGGGGAGAAGGGAGCGTAACGAGGGGAAAGCAAAGGGCAGGGGGGGAGAAACCAAGCATAGGGGGGCGAGAAACGAGGGGCAGGGTGCGGATTGAGGAGGGGCAGGGAGTGGAGTGGGTTAGCGAGGGGAAGGAAGAGGCGTGCAGCAGAGGAGGGGAGGGGGGAGGCGAAGGTAAACGAGGGGAGGGCACGGGCGGGGAGGAGCGAATGGCGAGCGGTGGGTAACGGCGAGGGGGGCAGGGAGGGTCAAAAGAGGCGGCGAGGGAGCGGGCACGCGGAGGGTAGGGGCGGGGGGAGCGGATGGCATGAGGGGGCAGGGGGTGTGACTATGAAGGGGGGACCCGGGCAAGGGGTGTGTACCGGTCGGGGCACGGGATTGTCGTGGTACGATCATACCTCGGCTACTACGCCGGATCCCATCAGAACTCCGAAGCTAAGCGCCGGTGGGCGAGAGCAGTACTGGGCTGGGTGACCTCCCGGGAAGTCCTCGTGTTGTACCCATTTATGCCCCTTGCTCGGCACGTGCCGGGGAGGGGCAAGCGGGAAAAACAAAGGACGATTTTAGCGCGTCCGACTTTTTTATTTCCGTTTTTTTTGCCCGAACAACGAGTCAGCGGGGTGGGGGGCCCCCGGGGAGGCTTGCCCGCGCGAAGAAACGCCCCGTGCGCACCACCGTTGGGCGGTTGGAAGCCGCACACGGTCGCGGGGGTGGAGAGCGGAAACGGGCAGCCGGGGGAGGGTGGGGGCGGTTGGACGGGAGTGGGGTGTACGGGGGGCAGGGGAGTTGAGGGGGCAAGGGGAGGGGCAGCAACGGGCAGGGGCTGGGCCAGCTGAGGGCAAGGAAAAGGGGCGGGCAGAGGGTGAGCAGAGGGGCGAGCGATGCAAGGGATGCACCAGAGGGGGGGAATCCAGTTGAACGGAGGTGAGAGGTGAGGGGCGTGCGAGGGGGTGGAACAGGGGCAGGGAGGGGCAGAACGGGAGGATGTGGGTGGGGGGTGGGGGAGGGGAGTGTGTGTGTGTGTGTGTGTGCGAGAGAAAGAGAGAGAGAGAGAGAGAGTGAGAGAGATAGAGAGAGAGAGAGAGAGGGAGAGGGGGGGGGGGAGAAGGGTGGGAGGGGGGCTGGTGGTGGGGACGGGCTGATGGTGGTAAGAGGGCAGCAGGGATGGGGAGAAGGGAGCGTAACGAGGGGAAAGCAAAGGGCAGGGGGGGAGAAACCAAGCATAGGGGGGCGAGAAACGAGGGGCAGGGTGCGGATTGAGGAGGGGCAGGGAGTGGAGTGGGTTAGCGAGGGGAAGGAAGAGGCGTGCAGCAGAGGAGGGGAGGGGGGAGGCGAAGGTAAACGAGGGGAGGGCACGGGCGGGGAGGAGCGAATGGCGAGCGGTGGGTAACGGCGAGGGGGGCAGGGAGGGTCAAAAGAGGCGGCGAGGGAGCGGGCACGCGGAGGGTAGGGGCGGGGGGAGCGGATGGCATGAGGGGGCAGGGGGTGTGACTATGAAGGGGGGACCCGGGCAAGGGGTGTGTACCGGTCGGGGCACGGGATTGTCGTGGTACGATCATACCTCGGCTACTACGCCGGATCCCATCAGAACTCCGAAGCTAAGCGCCGGTGGGCGAGAGCAGTACTGGGCTGGGTGACCTCCCGGGAAGTCCTCGTGTTGTACCCATTTATGCCCCTTGCTCGGCACGTGCCGGGGAGGGGCAAGCGGGAAAAACAAAGGACGATTTTAGCGCGTCCGACTTTTTTATTTCCGTTTTTTTTGCCCCGAACAACGAGTCAGCGGGGTGGGGGGCCCCCGGGGAGGCTTGCCCGCGCGAAGAAACGCCCCGTGCGCACCACCGTTGGGCGGTTGGAAGCCGCACACGGTCGCGGGGGTGGAGAGCGGAAACGGGCAGCCGGGGGAGGGTGGGGGCGGTTGGACGGGAGTGGGGTGTACGGGGGGCAGGGGAGTTGAGGGGGCAAGGGGAGGGGCAGCAACGGGCAGGGGCTGGGCCAGCTGAGGGCAAGGAAAAGGGGCGGGCAGAGGGTGAGCAGAGGGGCGAGCGATGCAAGGGATGCACCAGAGGGGGGGAATCCAGTTGAACGGAGGTGAGAGGTGAGGGGCGTGCGAGGGGGTGGAACAGGGGCAGGGAGGGGCAGAACGGGAGGATGTGGGTGGGGGGTGGGGGAGGGGAGTGTGTGTGTGTGTGTGTGCGAGAGAAAGAGAGAGAGAGAGAGAGAGAGGGAGAGGGGGGGGGGGAGAAGGGTGGGAGGGGGGCTGGTGGTGGGGACGGGCTGATGGTGGTAAGAGGGCAGCAGGGATGGGGAGAAGGGAGCGTAACGAGGGGAAAGCAAAGGGCAGGGGGGGAGGAAGGGAGGGGCAGGGAGGGAAGAGGGTGAACGTACAAAGAGGGGAAACGAGGGGCATGGATGGTAGGAAACAAGGGCAGGGGTGCGGGAAATCAAGGGCAGGGAGGGGAGAAGCAATGGGTGCGGGGAGAACAAGGGAGGGGCAGAGGGGGTACAAGGTGATCTCAGGGAGGGAAGAAACGTGGGGCAGGGAGGGGAGAAACCAAAGACAGGGGCATGGGCAGGCGGGGGCAGGGAGGGAGCAAAGGAGAGGCACGGAGAAAGAAAGGGAGGTGCAGGGAGGGGAGAAACCGGGCGTGGGGGGGCGGAAAATGAGGGGCAGGGCGGGGAGGAGGGAGAGGCAGGGAGGGGAGAAGCTGAGCACACGGAGGGGGGAAAGGTGGGGCAGGGAGGTGGGAAGCCAAGGGCAAGTGGAGGAGAGTGGGGGGGCAGGGAGAGGGGGGAGGTGGGGAGCGGAGAAAGGCGGCGAGGGGCAGGGAGGGGAGAAACCAAGCGTAGGGGGGCGAGAAACGAGGGGCAGGGTGCGGATTGAGGAGGGGCAGGGAGTGGAGTGGGTTAGCGAGGGGAAGGAAGAGGCGTGCAGCAGAGGAGGGGAGGGGGGAGGCGAAGGTAAACGAGGGGAGGGCACGGGCGGGGAGGAGCGAATGGCGAGCGGTGGGTAACGGCGAGGGGGGCAGGGAGGGTCAAAAGAGGCGGCGAGGGAGCGGGCACGCGGAGGGTAGGGGCGGGGGGAGCGGATGGCATGAGGGGGCAGGGGGTGTGACTATGAAGGGGGGACCCGGGCAAGGGGTGTGTACCGGTCGGGGCACGGGATTGTCGTGGTACGATCATACCTCGGCTACTACGCCGGATCCCATCAGAACTCCGAAGCTAAGCGCCGGTGGGCGAGAGCAGTACTGGGCTGGGTGACCTCCCGGGAAGTCCTCGTGTTGTACCCATTTATGCCCCTTGCTCGGCACGTGCCGGGGAGGGGCAAGCGGGAAAAACAAAGGACGATTTTAGCGCGTCCGACTTTTTTATTTCCGTTTTTTTTGCCCGAACAACGAGTCAGCGGGGTGGGGGGCCCCCGGGGAGGCTTGCCCGCGCGAAGAAACGCCCCGTGCGCACCACCGTTGGGCGGTTGGAAGCCGCACACGGTCGCGGGGGTGGAGAGCGGAAACGGGCAGCCGGGGGAGGGTGGGGGCGGTTGGACGGGAGTGGGGTGTACGGGGGGCAGGGGAGTTGAGGGGGCAAGGGGAGGGGCAGCAACGGGCAGGGGCTGGGCCAGCTGAGGGCAAGGAAAAGGGGCGGGCAGAGGGTGAGCAGAGGGGCGAGCGATGCAAGGGATGCACCAGAGGGGGGGAATCCAGTTGAACGGAGGTGAGAGGTGAGGGGCGTGCGAGGGGGTGGAACAGGGGCAGGGAGGGGCAGAACGGGAGGATGTGGGTGGGGGGTGGGGGAGGGGAGTGTGTGTGTGTGTGTGTGTGCGAGAGAAAGAGAGAGAGAGAGAGAGAGAGAGGGAGAGGGGGGGGGGGGAGAAGGGTGGGAGGGGGGCTGGTGGTGGGGACGGGCTGATGGTGGTAAGAGGGCAGCAGGGATGGGGAGAAGGGAGCGTAACGAGGGGAAAGCAAAGGGCAGGGGGGGAGGAAGGGAGGGGCAGGGAGGGAAGAGGGTGAACGTACAAAGAGGGGAAACGAGGGGCATGGATGGTAGGAAACAAGGGCAGGGGTGCGGGAAATCAAGGGCAGGGAGGGGAGAAGCAATGGGTGCGGGGAGAACAAGGGAGGGGCAGAGGGGGTACAAGGTGATCTCAGGGAGGGAAGAAACGTGGGGCAGGGAGGGGAGAAACCAAAGACAGGGGCATGGGCAGGCGGGGGCAGGGAGGGAGCAAAGGAGAGGCACGGAGAAAGAAAGGGAGGTGCAGGGAGGGGAGAAACCGGGCGTGGGGGGGCGGAAAATGAGGGGCAGGGCGGGGAGGAGGGAGAGGCAGGGAGGGGAGAAGCTGAGCACACGGAGGGGGGAAAGGTGGGGCAGGGAGGTGGGAAGCCAAGGGCAAGTGGAGGAGAGTGGGGGGGCAGGGAGAGGGGGGAGGTGGGGAGCGGAGAAAGGCGGCGAGGGGCAGGGAGGGGAGAAACCAAGCGTAGGGGGGCGAGAAACGAGGGGCAGGGTGCGGATTGAGGAGGGGCAGGGAGTGGAGTGGGTTAGCGAGGGGAAGGAAGAGGCGTGCAGCAGAGGAGGGGAGGGGGGAGGCGAAGGTAAACGAGGGGAGGGCACGGGCGGGGAGGAGCGAATGGCGAGCGGTGGGTAACGGCGAGGGGGGCAGGGAGGGTCAAAAGAGGCGGCGAGGGAGCGGGCACGCGGAGGGTAGGGGCGGGGGGAGCGGATGGCATGAGGGGGCAGGGGGTGTGACTATGAAGGGGGGACCCGAGCAAGGGGTGTGTACCGGTCGGGGCACGGGATTGTCGTGGTACGATCATACCTCGGCTACTACGCCGGATCCCATCAGAACTCCGAAGCTAATCGCCGGTGGGCGAGAGCAGTACTGGGCTGGGTGACCTCCCGGGAAGTCCTCGTGTTGTACCCATTTATGCCCCTTGCTCGGCACGTGCCGGGGAGGGGCAAGCGGGAAAAAGAAAGGACGATTTTAGCGCGTCCGACTTTTTTATTTCCGTTTTTTTGCCCGAACAACGAGTCAGCGGGGTGGGGGGCCCCCGGGGAGGCTTGCCCGCGCGAAGAAACGCCCCGTGCGCACCACCGTTGGGCGGTTGGAAGCCGCACACGGTCGCGGGGGTGGAGAGCGGAAACGGGCAGCCGGGGGAGGGTGGGGGCGGTTGGACGGGAGTGGGGTGTACGGGGGGCAGGGGAGTTGAGGGGGCAAGGGGAGGGGCAGCAACGGGCAGGGGCTGGGCCAGCTGAGGGCAAGGAAAAGGGGCGGGCAGAGGGTGAGCAGAGGGGCGAGCGATGCAAGGGATGCACCAGAGGGGGGGAATCCAGTTGAACGGAGGTGAGAGGTGAGGGGCGTGCGAGGGGGTGGAACAGGGGCAGGGAGGGGCAGAACGGGAGGATGTGGGTGGGGGGTGGGGGAGGGGAGTGTGTGTGTGTGTGTGTGTGCGAGAGAAAGAGAGAGAGAGAGAGAGAGAGTGAGAGAGATAGAGAGAGAGAGAGAGAGGGAGAGGGGGGGGGGGAGAAGGGTGGGAGGGGGGCTGGTGGTGGGGACGGGCTGATGGTGGTAAGAGGGCAGCAGGGATGGGGAGAAGGGAGCGTAACGAGGGGAAAGCAAAGGGCAGGGGGGGAGAAACCAAGCATAGGGGGGCGAGAAACGAGGGGCAGGGTGCGGATTGAGGAGGGGCAGGGAGTGGAGTGGGTTAGCGAGGGGAAGGAAGAGGCGTGCAGCAGAGGAGGGGAGGGGGGAGGCGAAGGTAAACGAGGGGAGGGCACGGGCGGGGAGGAGCGAATGGCGAGCGGTGGGTAACGGCGAGGGGGGCAGGGAGGGTCAAAAGAGGCGGCGAGGGAGCGGGCACGCGGAGGGTAGGGGCGGGGGGAGCGGATGGCATGAGGGGGCAGGGGGTGTGACTATGAAGGGGGGACCCGGGCAAGGGGTGTGTACCGGTCGGGGCACGGGATTGTCGTGGTACGATCATACCTCGGCTACTACGCCGGATCCCATCAGAACTCCGAAGCTAAGCGCCGGTGGGCGAGAGCAGTACTGGGCTGGGTGACCTCCCGGGAAGTCCTCGTGTTGTACCCATTTATGCCCCTTGCTCGGCACGTGCCGGGGAGGGGCAAGCGGGAAAAACAAAGGACGATTTTAGCGCGTCCGACTTTTTTATTTCCGTTTTTTTTGCCCCCGAACAACGAGTCAGCGGGGTGGGGGGCCCCCGGGGAGGCTTGCCCGCGCGAAGAAACGCCCCGTGCGCACCACCGTTGGGCGGTTGGAAGCCGCACACGGTCGCGGGGGTGGAGAGCGGAAACGGGCAGCCGGGGGAGGGTGGGGGCGGTTGGACGGGAGTGGGGTGTACGGGGGGCAGGGGAGTTGAGGGGGCAAGGGGAGGGGCAGCAACGGGCAGGGGCTGGGCCAGCTGAGGGCAAGGAAAAGGGGCGGGCAGAGGGTGAGCAGAGGGGCGAGCGATGCAAGGGATGCACCAGAGGGGGGGAATCCAGTTGAACGGAGGTGAGAGGTGAGGGGCGTGCGAGGGGGTGGAACAGGGGCAGGGAGGGGCAGAACGGGAGGATGTGGGTGGGGGGTGGGGGAGGGGAGTGTGTGTGTGTGTGTGTGTGCGAGAGAAAGAGAGAGAGAGAGAGAGAGAGAGGGAGAGGGGGGGGGGGAGAAGGGTGGGAGGGGGGCTGGTGGTGGGGACGGGCTGATGGTGGTAAGAGGGCAGCAGGGATGGGGAGAAGGGAGCGTAACGAGGGGAAAGCAAAGGGCAGGGGGGGAGGAAGGGAGGGGCAGGGAGGGAAGAGGGTGAACGTACAAAGAGGGGAAACGAGGGGCATGGATGGTAGGAAACAAGGGCAGGGGTGCGGGAAATCAAGGGCAGGGAGGGGAGAAGCAATGGGTGCGGGGAGAACAAGGGAGGGGCAGAGGGGGTACAAGGTGATCTCAGGGAGGGAAGAAACGTGGGGCAGGGAGGGGAGAAACCAAAGACAGGGGCATGGGCAGGCGGGGGCAGGGAGGGAGCAAAGGAGAGGCACGGAGAAAGAAAGGGAGGTGCAGGGAGGGGAGAAACCGGGCGTGGGGGGGCGGAAAATGAGGGGCAGGGCGGGGAGGAGGGAGAGGCAGGGAGGGGAGAAGCTGAGCACACGGAGGGGGGAAAGGTGGGGCAGGGAGGTGGGAAGCCAAGGGCAAGTGGAGGAGAGTGGGGGGGCAGGGAGAGGGGGGAGGTGGGGAGCGGAGAAAGGCGGCGAGGGGCAGGGAGGGGAGAAACCAAGCGTAGGGGGGCGAGAAACGAGGGGCAGGGTGCGGATTGAGGAGGGGCAGGGAGTGGAGTGGGTTAGCGAGGGGAAGGAAGAGGCGTGCAGCAGAGGAGGGGAGGGGGGAGGCGAAGGTAAACGAGGGGAGGGCACGGGCGGGGAGGAGCGAATGGCGAGCGGTGGGTAACGGCGAGGGGGGCAGGGAGGGTCAAAAGAGGCGGCGAGGGAGCGGGCACGCGGAGGGTAGGGGCGGGGGGAGCGGATGGCATGAGGGGGCAGGGGGTGTGACTATGAAGGGGGGACCCGAGCAAGGGGTGTGTACCGGTCGGGGCACGGGATTGTCGTGGTACGATCATACCTCGGCTACTACGCCGGATCCCATCAGAACTCCGAAGCTAATCGCCGGTGGGCGAGAGCAGTACTGGGCTGGGTGACCTCCCGGGAAGTCCTCGTGTTGTACCCATTTATGCCCCTTGCTCGGCACGTGCCGGGGAGGGGCAAGCGGGAAAAACAAAGGACGATTTTAGCGCGTCCGACTTTTTTATTTCCGTTTTTTTGCCCGAACAACGAGTCAGCGGGGTGGGGGGCCCCCGGGGAGGCTTGCCCGCGCGAAGAAACGCCCCGTGCGCACCACCGTTGGGCGGTTGGAAGCCGCACACGGTCGCGGGGGTGGAGAGCGGAAACGGGCAGCCGGGGGAGGGTGGGGGCGGTTGGACGGGAGTGGGGTGTACGGGGGGCAGGGGAGTTGAGGGGGCAAGGGGAGGGGCAGCAACGGGCAGGGGCTGGGCCAGCTGAGGGCAAGGAAAAGGGGCGGGCAGAGGGTGAGCAGAGGGTGCGAGCGATGCAAGGGATGCACCAGAGGGGGGGAATCCAGTTGAACGGAGGTGAGAGGTGAGGGGCGTGCGAGGGGGTGGAACAGGGGCAGGGAGGGGCAGAACGGGAGGATGTGGGTGGGGGGTGGGGGAGGGGAGTGTGTGTGTGTGTGTGTGTGCGAGAGAAAGAGAGAGAGAGAGAGAGGAGAGAGATAGAGAGAGAGAGAGAGGGGGGGGGGGGGAGAAGGGTGGGAGGGGGGCTGGTGGTGGGGACGGGCTGATGGTGGTAAGAGGGCAGCAGGGATGGGGAGAAGGGAGCGTAACGAGGGGAAAGCAAAGGGCAGGGGGGGAGGAAGGGAGGGGCAGGGAGGGAAGAGGGTGAACGTACAAAGAGGGGAAACGAGGGGCATGGATGGTAGGAAACAAGGGCAGGGGTGCGGGAAATCAAGGGCAGGGAGGGGAGAAGCAATGGGTGCGGGGAGAACAAGGGAGGGGCAGAGGGGGTACAAGGTGATCTCAGGGAGGGAAGAAACGTGGGGCAGGGAGGGGAGAAACCAAAGACAGGGGCATGGGCAGGCGGGGGCAGGGAGGGAGCAAAGGAGAGGCACGGAGAAAGAAAGGGAGGTGCAGGGAGGGGAGAAACCGGGCGTGGGGGGGCGGAAAATGAGGGGCAGGGCGGGGAGGAGGGAGAGGCAGGGAGGGGAGAAGCTGAGCACACGGAGGGGGGAAAGGTGGGGCAGGGAGGTGGGAAGCCAAGGGCAAGTGGAGGAGAGTGGGGGGGCAGGGAGAGGGGGGAGGTGGGGAGCGGAGAAAGGCGGCGAGGGGCAGGGAGGGGAGAAACCAAGCGTAGGGGGGCGAGAAACGAGGGGCAGGGTGCGGATTGAGGAGGGGCAGGGAGTGGAGTGGGTTAGCGAGGGGAAGGAAGAGGCGTGCAGCAGAGGAGGGGAGGGGGGAGGCGAAGGTAAACGAGGGGAGGGCACGGGCGGGGAGGAGCGAATGGCGAGCGGTGGGTAACGGCGAGGGGGGCAGGGAGGGTCAAAAGAGGCGGCGAGGGAGCGGGCACGCGGAGGGTAGGGGCGGGGGGAGCGGATGGCATGAGGGGGCAGGGGGTGTGACTATGAAGGGGGGACCCGGGCAAGGGGTGTGTACCGGTCGGGGCACGGGATTGTCGTGGTACGATCATACCTCGGCTACTACGCCGGATCCCATCAGAACTCCGAAGCTAAGCGCCGGTGGGCGAGAGCAGTACTGGGCTGGGGTGACCTCCCGGGAAGTCCTCGTGTTGTACCCATTTATGCCCCTTGCTCGGCACGTGCCGGGGAGGGCAAGCGGGAAAAACAAAGGACGATTTTAGCGCGTCCGACTTTTTTATTTCCGTTTTTTTGCCCGAACAACGAGTCAGCGGGGTGGGGGGCCCCCGGGGAGGCTGCCCGCGCGAAGAAACGCCCCGTGCGCACCACCGTTGGGCGGTTGGAAGCCGCACCGGTCGCGGGGGTGGAGAGCGGAAACGGGCAGCCCGGGGGAGGGTGGGGGCGGTTGGACGGGAGTGGGGTGTACGGGGGGCAGGGAGTTGAGGGGGCAAGGGGTAGGGGCAGCAACGGGCAGGGGGCTGGGCCAGCTGAGGGCAAGGAAAAGGGCGGGCAGAGGGTGAGCAGAGGGGCGAGCGATGCAAGGGATGCACCAGAGGGGGGGAATCCAGTTGAACGGAGGTGAGAGGTGAGGG